CTTGTCTGGTGGTCCATTGTGCACCACTATACTAAGTGATAACTCGGGTATTTCTTCATCGACTCCTCATTTATATATTTTTTATATATTCCCATCAATACCAGGGATAGACTACTCTCCCCCTCTGTTGGCCAATATTGTATCATGAATACAGTCCCCTCCTTGAAGAGGTTATATCCACCTTATAAGTATTCTCCAGGGTTATCGAAGGCCTGGAGGATATCCACGTTTCAATAGCCTCACCAAGTCGGCGGACTGTATACTCTTCCATAAAAACGGGCCCCATAATGTTAATCATTATGGGGCGAGAGGTAGGATTCCCGGCCCAAACATTAAAATGAGATTGTATAATCGGCAAAAGCAGTAAGATAATAGGGATATGCCAACACCTGCCATATATGGGGGCCACCTACGTCAGCAGACAGGGGGAATCGGTGTGACGTCATTAGCGTCTGGTTAATTGTTGCGGGTTGCCTACCTATCGTTACCAGTGTTGTAAAATTGTGCAGAAAAATGTTGATTATTTTAGGATGATTTTGCAATCATGGTGTGACGTCACCCGCGTTGTCAGACTGAGCAGGAAAATCGTGATTAATTGAGGGGTATTGTTGAAAAATTTGGGGGAAAATCTGGATTATTTTAGGATGTCTGATTTTACAACCATGGAGTGAGGTCACTAGCGACTGGTTATTTGTTACGGGTTGCATACCTATTAGGGGTGATGGATAATCGTTATCAGTCTAGTAAAATTGGGACAGAAAAATCGGAGTTAATTTACGGGTGTTGGATGTTTTACTGTATAAAATGATAGCCCTCTTTACGTGCTGTGACGATACAGTAACCAACATTAAAAAATTGAGCGGGGGACCGGGTAAATTTTCAAAATTGAAGACCAGCAAACGATTTTCCCAGACTTTTGACAAGAGTCGTGCAATGTAATCACCCCATACAACGGTGAAAATTTCCGAAATTAAAGATTGAAAAATTTGAGTGTAATCTTTTGTATGTATGATTACCTTTTCAAAATTTTCCCGAGCAATTTTTCTGTCAAGAGTCATCTAAATGTTCAATTTTCAATTTCGGAAATTTCCCCGTGTATAATCTCTCCTATGAATACCAACAGACATTAGTTTGTCTTTCATTTTTGAAAAAAAATTGGAAATTTTCTCATCTTATAACTGCTAGGTAATACTTATAAACACCAACCGAACGAAGGTGTGGAGAAAACTCTAAACTTTAAGGTTTCGTATTAATTTTTTTGTAAAATTCATGAATAAACAGAAGAGGAAAAAATATTACTTCTCCACTCGGATATTTCTTTATCTAGTTCATATATCGACGGTGAAACTACCAAACCACGTATCTCGTTTGCGGTGTTTAAAAATCTACGCTCACATTTTATTTTTTTGAAGTAGACCAAATCAATATCATTCTTTGAAATTTTCACGGAATTTTCTCCGCACAAAGAGGAAAAATCACAAAAATTTTCAAGACTGGATGTTGAGTAGTTTTTCATTTAAAAAATAAAGTATGACAGGAAGTCTGCGACGTCGCAAACCGAGATACGTGGTTTGGTAGTTTCACCGTCGATATGGAACAGGTGAGAGGGTGGCGCAGCAGAGGGAACCTATCTCCTGTTTAGACTAAATCCTAGGATTACCATGTGTTAATCCTAGAATTTAACTCAACATTATCAGAGATAGAGCCCAGTGTCTGCTCACCCTGTATTATCTTCTTAATTTGAAAAATAGAATGAAATTGTGAATCAACCACTGTACTAATTGCGAGGGACGTTGGTTTATTTGAAAGGTGTTGTTCTCAATGCTTCGGGAAAACTATAAATTATTTTCTGGGGTTCGTCCCCGATTTTTAAATCCCTAAAAACTCATAAATTGGATGAGGGGAAGTGGGGGTTTTTTGTTTTTTGTTTTTCGGAAAAGTTTTGTTGCTACGCATCTTACTTTACTGTTTGCTGTCTTTTTATCAGCTGTTTTCATTCAACAATCATCATTAAGTGAGGTTACTTCCAACACTCAACTGCCATCAACTTACATTTTTCTTTTCCCGTTTTTTTTTTTTTTTTTTTTTTTTTTTTTTTTACGGTTTTTCATGATTGGTTCCATCTTTTTCCTATTGCCAATTTTTCCTCATTAAGTCAATAACCTCCAAGTTTTTTTTTCTCATTTCCGATCGGAACTTTTCACGCTGTTTCTTTTCAATGTGTATAAATATGTTTATTATTAATTTCCATTTTCATTTCATCCTTTTTCTTCTGATTTATTTTTTTTAATTTAAAAATTGAACTTTTCAGTTATGATTTTGTTAAAATAATACAAATTTTTACTAATTTTAATTTTAAATTTAACAGTTGTTATGAGTGAAATTTTCAATGACCGAGGCGGTCGTCCTCCAAAACGTGGTCGCGTTTTCCAGAATTCTTCGCATGTTCGTTTAGTGAAGCAAGAACTTAACTCTGTTATTAGTATAGAAAATCAAAGTTTCATTTCTTCATTTCGGAAGTATAAAATTGATGATCAGAACTTTGATGAAAATTTTGTTACCTTTTCAGTCGGTTCAATGAATATAATTTGTCATCATTGTGATGCTCGCCATTTTCAGGGTGAAATGTCCAATGGTCATTTTAATAACTGCTGCCAAAATGGCTTAATTTCTTTACCGAGTATTCGGACAGATACCGATTTGAAATCATTATTTTTATATTCTCCAAATTTCATAAAGCATATCAGAAATTATAATAAAGCTGTTGCTTTTGCCTCTTTCTCTGCAAATCGAATTGATATTCCGGGTGATGGACCTTACTGCTTTAAAGTTCAAGGATCCATATATAGGTAAGTTTATTTAATATTTACCGTTACGTAACGTACTTTTTTCAGTTTCTCAGTCCGTCCCTCCCTCCTTCCCACCCCTTAACGCATCCGGAATGCAGCTGCATTCCGGATACTGCATTTAAATCTTTCCTCCTCTGTTTGTTACTATTTGGACTTTGTCTATTCCGTTTTGTTTTTAAACATTTTAAAAATAAACAGTTCAGAGAAAATAATAAGACTTAAAATTCTGTTTAATAGTGTTGTTATTATTTTATAAGCAAATAAAAAGAAACATTTTTTAAGGAAATATAGGAAGAAAAGCAGGACAGAAATGGCAAAAGAAGAATCAACAATTTAATCGAAAAAAAAGCAAAGTATTTAAAAAATAAAAAAAGGTCTTCTTTAAAATTAGTTTGAAAACAAATGTAAAACCTAAAAAATAATTTTGTATGAAGATTAAAACAAAATTTTAGTTTAAAGTTTACCAAATAAAATTACAATTTTTGAAAACATTTGTTATATTTATTCTCTCAAAAAAATAATTAGACCCGATTCAAAGACAAAACAGAAAATTAAATGAAAATAAATAAAAAAAAAAAAAAAAAAAAACATGTGAAAGTGAAAAGTGTACAGGAAAAATAAGGGGCTGCGAAGCAGCCCCATAAGCCCCTAGTTTCATTGTAAATGTTAAATCACTCATCAGTTTAGTATCCCACCCACCCATTCTCAAAGTGAGATAAAAGGAAGAAAGAAAAACACTCGGGTATTTCCTCACTTTATTTTTTTTTTTTTTTAAACATGAATAAAATATAACAATTAGGTGAAGGGGACAGGCGACAGAGTGGGAGAAACCTATCCCCAATATTGTATCATCCTCCCATAAATACCAGGGAAAGACTAATCTCCCCATCTGTCGGCCAATACTTCAAGGCAAAAACACCCCCCTCCTTGATGAGGAGATACCCTCCTGAGATATTTTCCTTGGTTACCGGAGCGGACCTCCTCGATATCCATGAGGATATCTCCTCACCAAGACGTCTGAGCGTGCTTTCTTCCATATGATCAGGCCCCATTATGTTTATCACAATGGGACGGGGGGCGGGGTTCCCCACCCACACATGGAAGTGGGATCCTATAATTGGCAATATGTGGTGAAGTTGCATCTTTACGGAGGAGTTGTCGTCGTTGTTGTTGTTGTTGTTGTTGCTATTGCTGATGCTGGTGAGGGTGCTGTTGTAGGTGAGGGTGTTGATTATGATGGGTGGTGTGAGAGCTGTTGGGGAGGGGAAAAAATATTAGAAATGTAATATAAAATAAATAAATAAATAAATAAATAACTAAGGAAAGAAAAGAATGAGATAAATTTCGTATTTTCTTTGATAATTCTCAAAAATCGGGATTTCCTCGGGCGTCGTAGGATTTGAGATTATCTAAAATCCCTCCCGCTTTTGTCCCGCGTGCGGTAAGTTTCCGACATTGCTGGCACATTCGATCACATTCGCAAACCCACCACTTGGCTTTCATACATTTAAATTTGCCAACTTTACTCGACTCGTATGTCCTATTCATCTCAGTGTACCACGGGTGATGTAAGAAAACCGCGTGATATTCCGAGAAGCAATCGAATCTCTCCGTGTTAGCATCGCTGTTGAAAATGAAGGGCATGAGCTTGCGGAGTATTTGAATACGCGGTTCGTACATAGCCTCCATGTTCAAAGCGTCCACGTAAAACTTATCGAAAACAAAGAGGAATTTTAAATAATCTCTGAACCCTATTTTAGACTTCACAATCTCACACCACTCATCGATTGTTTTCAAACACCGTTCATTACAACAGTGACCTTTGAAATTGAGGAAAGAGACATCGAAATACGGGTCCCGGTCATCCATCTGCTGAGATGGACACATTTCCCAGTGCAGCATTCCGATGAGGGGGACCCTGGGTGCGAGATACCCTGTCATCTCCCAAGCCAACTTCACGATCGAACGCACGGTTGTGCCGCGTGGTTTTCAGGTAAAAATCTTCGCAAATCTCGCAAAAACCAGCGAATTTCCCCTCTAAAAACCGTACTTCGGCACCGCGCGGCGTTACCACCACCCCTCCTCCTCACCAATGACGTCATCATCCTCCTCTTCCTCCTCCTCCTCCTCCTCCTCGTTCAACAAGGATGATGATGTCGGCGCTGGCTCCGCTGGAAGAGGCAGCGGGGACAAGGCTTCTTTCATCTCTTAATTTTTATTTAAAAAATGATCGAACACGGATTCGAGATCGGAAATCGGAGGGCTATTGACGTATTTCGTCACGATACTAAGCCCTCTCTTTTCATCTTCACTCGAAGCAGTCCTAATCACATAACTATTAATTTTAATTTTTACCTCGCTATAATTATCTACTATAAATTTAAGCTTATCTAGAATTTGATCTGAATCTGAGAGATCGGCGAGCCGCGGGTCCTCGTTCTTGAAAAAAAGGAGGAAGCAGAAAAACGAGGAGGGCGGACTGAAGATAGGCTCACGGGTGTCTGGGCAGGAAAACGATGAAGTATCTGAAATTGATGTAAAAACCATCACTTTTTCGGTAAAATGAAACACATTTTCACTTGATGTGATCCATCAATCAATCAATAAATCAATCAATCAATCAATAAATCAATCATTCAATCAATCAATCAATCATTCAATCAATCAATCAATCAATCAATCAATCAATCAATCAATCAATCAATCAATCAATCAAACTTGAAATGCCAAACTCCGAGATTAAAAATTATGGTTGGAGAGAGAGAGAAATTTGATTTTTTCCTTACATTCACAGTCATTTTTTCACGAAATAAAGAAGTCAAAATGCTCGATTGTTTGACTTGAACTAGTAAAAAACTCACATACAATTAGATTTTATAAACCAATTTTGGTTTAAAACAAGTCACTTTTCACTGGAAATTATCGATTTGAATGTAGTGGAAATTTTCGATTTGAAATTATAGAATTGAATGCAGTGAAAATTTTCGAATTGAATGCAGTGAAAATTTTTGAGTTGAAAACTGGTGTAGTAAAACACAAATAGACTCACCAATTAAGGATGTAGAGGATGCGACACATGTTAAAAGCTGGCGTAGAGGTGAAAAAAAAGAGGTGAGAATCTGCAATTGAGAGAGAGATGGATTTTTCAGAAGAGTGTCAACTAGATTTTTTTTTATAAAAATTTTGGATTAAAACAACTCACTTTCGGGTAATATTTTTTACTAGAAATTTTCGATTTGAAATATTGGAATGAAAATTATTAAATTCAAATATCGGTATAAAAAAATTTTGAATTAAAACAAGTCACTTTCGGGTAATATAATTCACTAGAAATTTTCGGTTTGAAATATTGGAGTGACATTTTTCCACGAAATAAAGAAGTCGAAATGCTCGATTGTTTGACTAGTAAAACAGCAACATACAGTTAGATTTTATAAAAAATTTTGGTTTAAAACAAGTCACTTTTCACTGGAAATTATCGATTTGAATGTAGTGGAAATGTTCGATTTGAAATTATCGAATTGAATAGAGTGAAAATTTTCGAATTGAAAACTTGTGCAGTAAAACACGAATAGACTCACCAATTTAAGATATAGAGGATGTGACACAGGTATAAAGCTGGTGTGCAGGTGAATAAAAGAGGTGAGAATCTGGAATTTAGAGAGATCGATTTTTCAGAAGAGTGTCACCTAGGTTTTTTTTATAAAAATTTTGGATTAAAACAACTCACTTTCGGGTAGTATATTTGACTAGAAATTTTCGATTTGGAATATTGGAATGAAAATTATTGAATTCAAATCTCGGTATACAAAAATTTTGAATCAAAACAAGTCTTTTTTGGTTTGAAATATTGGAATGAAAATTATTGGAATATTGTTTCCGTCGAAATTATCGTTTTGAAAACAACTCACTTTCGGGTAATATAATCCGCTAGAAATTTTCGGTTTGAAATTATTGGATTAAAACAAGACACTTTCGGGTGGTATAATTCGCAACTATAATTCGAAATTTAGGTGTGAGATGTCGAAATGTTGGTCTCTGCCATCCCCGTCTATTTGCTGGGACGGGGACACTTACCAATATATGGCCCCGATGAATATCTCTTCCACCAATTTCTTGAAAATCCTGATTCCATCCACCCTCTTCTGTTGAAACGCATGACGACGGCGAGAGCTTGCGGAAATTTCTCTCCTGCGATTTTACTCATTGCACTATGGATCAGTGGCGTGGCGTGAATGGACCACTAGACAAGGTACGAATTTCAGCATTCTGATACATGCTTCTTGACCAAAATTTCACGTAGAACACGATGTGCACAACGAAAATGACCGAAATCGACTCGTTACGAAGATATCCAATAATTCTTGATGCGTCAATTCAAACCACCCGCTCATGAAAACTCAATGCTCTACGTGATTCACATATCGCGCGGTAAACGTTTATCATGACAGTCTCTGCAATATAAAAATCTGACAAGTACAATCTTGACGCTTTGGCTCAGCTATAGCAAATTACTCATAGTTTGAACAACACATGGTGGGAAATAAACATTGCTCGTTTGAGAAGATTGCTGAAACCGTTTGTGCGCGCTTTGACTCACGTAGGGCTTTGAGTTTCTTGTGGGCGGGCAGTTCAAATTCCTTGTAACCAATGTGAAATAAAAATGTTAATATCTTCGTTAGGAGTTGGTTTCAGTCATTTTCGTTGCACGAATCGTGTTTTGCGTAAAATTTTGGTTAAGAAACATGTATCAGAATCCTATAATTCGTACCTTGTCTAGTGGTCCATTGCGATTTATCGATTGTTAAACCATTTAAACCTATGAAAAAGGATCGAAAAGCAGGGTGTTCGCAGCGAACTCCTCAGTGATCGATTCTTTACCATAGGCCTAAATGGCACAACAATCGATACATCGCAATTCACGCCAAGCCACTGCTATGGATGGGTGTAATTACGAGGAGATGAGGGGAATAAAAAAGAGTTCGGACGGTTTGGTCTATTACCTTCGATGGATTCATCGATGACATCGTTTCGAAACAGCGCTTGCAACCGGGAGAAGTCATCTTTTTGTCGAAGCTGTATAAAAACAAACAAATAAAATCGTTAATGGAAGGAAATGAGAGAAAAAAGTGGTTAATGAATATTTTTGGGTGAAGGAGACCTACACAAGAAGATTCTTGGTTTAACATTGGTTTGAAGACTGAACGTGGCCAATTCTACCAAACCCAGAGCTTGTTTCTACTGAAGATTACTTTCATAAATTTATATAGTACACGAGATATCTTGAACCGATAATTTATAGAATATTAATAGACTATTAATAGACTTTATCCGAGATATCGGGGTGAAACGGCCATACTGAAGGAGCATGCTCTGTGATCGAAAATATACGGCATTTTTCCTCTTCTACAGTTTTTTCCCCCCAAAAGTGCCCCCGAAAAAACTACGGTCTCCCAATTTTTCGGAAAAATTGTCATTTTATCTGACTTTTGGCAACGGCATAATGGTCAAAAACTCTTGAATAATGGCTGGCCCCTACAACTTTTAGCGCTGAATTCATCCATGATTTTTTCATGGTCTTTTTTCAGGTGTTATTTACCTTAAAGATCCAAGACCTTTTCCCGTTTAGATTGTTCAGATTTAATAGATTAGATAAGTTATAGATAAATTCATTGCTAAAAATTATGGAGATCATCCTTTTTACTTGAGTTTTTGTCCAAAACCGTTTTTAAAATTTAGAATTCTAAATTTTTTTTTAAAAAAATAAATAAAACTGGCTTTTCAACACCCAAATGATATTTATTCAACAAATATAATAATACGACTCAACATCGACATATCATCTATATCATCATTTTTATCGTTACAGAAGCAAAATGTAACATTTGAGCGAAGCGCGGTGCATTTAAGAACGGGGATACACAGTAAAAACTGCGATTAAAGGACTACATTTAGCAATTAGGAACTACAGTTTCTGGCTCAGTTTAGAAACAACGTATCTGCCATTAGTTTCCTCACACACATACGTGTTTTTACGAATGAGCCAGAAGTTGTAGCTCCTCGTTGCAACATTTAGTGCATTCGGGGACTTAAGACATTCGTTTTATAGCAAAAGCTTATCTGGGCCAATTGGAAGTCAGAGACAGTGGTGAGGCGAGAATGATCGATTATCGATTCCCCCATTTTAAGCTGTGGTAAAGAACTGATTCTTTAGGTGTTCGTTATGGAAATCATGTTTATCGATCCTTTACCATAGGATTTAATGGCAGATCAATCGACATATCGCAAAGCACGCCATGCCACTGGTCGGAGAGAACAACTTGGACCAAAAGAAATATGAATTTGCTGAACTCTTGTCATTTTCACCGAAAAGTTATGAGTCGGTATGTTTCCTCTGTTCGAGCTCAAATTAGGTGGGTATAATCAATCCTACCGTCATACAAGAATATACTGCCGTGCTAAGGAAGAACGCCGTATGAACCTTCAGGCGTTGCCAAACTTCGACTGATAAGGCACGAATTACCGGGTAGACTCGTGAGTATTGTTCTTCCAATTTTTCAGATAATATTGTTCGCAATTTCGCCTAAAGTTCCTGAAAGATTTGGGGGAAAATATTCATAATTTTCCTCAAAATTAAACATTCCATTGAAGGAAATTTGGCAACTCTCGAATGTTCATACGGCGTTCTTCCTTAGCACGGCAGTAAAGCCCGCCGTTGGCGCCGCGACACAGTCAAAGCGCCTTCACACCCCTGTGTATGCAATTAGCAATATAGTAATATAGCGTTATATTACTATATTGCTAGCGTTGCGCGAAGCGCAACCGAGCCAGTATTGCACTGGAAAAAAAAGAATCTTAAATTTGCCGCCAAGAAGTATTTCTTCTTAAATCAAGAATTTTGCTGGTTAATATAAGCTACTTTTTTGCTTAACCCAAGCATTATTTTTCTTGAATCAAGAAAAAGTCAGCTCAAAGCAAGATAAAGAAAATTCTTGGCGGCAAATTCAAGAATTATCATACTTGATCCAAGCTACTTTTTTTTTCAGTGTGGCAGTGCTGCTGCTGCCGTGTTAGGGAAAACGCCGCGCTGTATGAGCCAGTGGCGAGGCCAGGATGATCGATTTTCGATATTTCCCCATTTGAAGCTGTAGTAAAGAATCTAGTATTAAGGCGTTTGGTGGGAACAACCTGCTTATCGATCCTTTTCCATAGGTTCAATGGCAGATCAATCGATACATCGCAACGCACGCCACGCCACTGGCATGAGCCGTCACATTTTGCCATATTTCCTTCAATAAGAGTCAAATTCGCCGGGAAAATTTTATTTCAAATTTTTTAGGCAATTTTGTTTGTGATTTAATCTAAAGTATCTGAAAATTTCCAGGAAAATTATGCAAACTTCCCCCATAAATACATGTTTTATTCGAGGATATTTGGCAACTCTCGATTATTCATACGGCGCTCTTACTTAGCACGGCAGAGTAGGGGTTGCTACATAACAAGGGTCTGGAGACAGAGCCTATAACATACATGAAAAAAAAGAAACAAATAGAACTTATAAGGAGTAATTGTGACCCTTGATCTTTGGATAAAATTTAATTACTACTCTACTACTTATTACTTAAATTAAGTTACACAGTTCAAGTAATATTGAAATGCTCTTGGTTCCTTTTGGTCAAATGCAATCCAATTTATAATGGTGGTAAAAACATTACACAGATAAATCAAAATTTTGAACTTTTTTCCCATCAATTATGTTAAAACTTAAATTTCTTCGTAGTAGAACACGGAAAAACGTCGCCAATTCCCCGCAACTGCACAAATTGCAATATAAATGGACTCCATTTTGCAATTTGGAACCATAAATTCTAGCCCGGTTTAAAAACAACGTATGTGCCATCAGTTTCCCTATGCACATACGTGTTTTTCCAAGAGAGCCAGAATTTATAGTTCCAAATTGCAAAATGCAGTCCAAATGCACACTGCACAATGCAAATGCACAATGCTAATTTGCACACATGGTAAAATAATTTCCATTTAAATGAAATGTTGTGTATGCTGTCTATTCGCTGCTTGAAAGGAAACATCTTCTCGTAATTTAAAGCTATACAATCGTAATCAGTTGCAATTTTTTTTGCACTACAAATTGCCTACCTTCGTCACACACAGGACACATTTGATTGATCGCTTTAAATCGACATCTCGATGGCTAAATAAGGGCGGCACCACGTGCCTCCATTGCGGTGTTCCAAAATCTCCGCCCTTAGTATGTTTTTTTAAAAAAGAACAAGCCAGCTACATAGTTTGAAATTCATACTGAATATTTTGCTAACGGAGACGAATATCATGGAAGTCTCCAAGAAATTAGCCTGGGTCGGTGACTTTTCAAAAGAAAAAAAAATGTGTGACAGGAAGTCCACAACGCCGCAAACAGAAATACGTGGTTTTGCACTTTGACCATCGATTCATCGACCAAATATTGTAAAAAATATTACAATTTCAAAGCATTGAATTCCAAAATAATCCAAACATCACGTTGCATGCGCACTGCGCAGCTCGGGTTGCTGTAAGCATTTATTGAAAACAGGGATCGCCCAGAATACTGACCGAGATGTGTCGTTTCCCAGACGAACGAACGCGATTTCACTCCAACGTTGCAAAATTAACTCAAGTAATTAAATTTTTTACGAGAATATATCTACAAAATGTTTGTCTAAAATTTGTCTGAATTTTGCGCGAGACCAGAGGAAAAATCAGAGAAATTTTCAATTAGACATGCCTAAGATTTCCCTAATAAAAATGCAATTTACGAGGGGAAATTTAGCAACATTGAAATGTAGTTACGTTCTTTCGTGAGGAGAACGAAGAATTGGACGTATTTCTGTCAAACGGAACTATGTGCATTTTGACGTGAGCCCTGTTATGCATATATTTTTATGGGTCTCGGGCTAATAATTTAATGCACATAGTTCCGTTTGGCAGAAATACGTCCAATTGTGAGAAAAAAATCGTCATCCGCCGAATGCGTCGAAGGAAAGACTCGAATACCCAGCACATTTTTTTTTACCACCGTGAATGATTATAAGAACAGAACGTAAGACGTGGAAGAAAGTGTTAGTAAAATATATCGTAAACGCTTACCGTGAGATAAAAAACAGAGACGAGTTTGGACAGTAAGCACAGAATAAGTTTAGCGGGTTGTTCACTGACACAGATCGTTGTTCCGAACAACAGGCGATAGATGAGATGAACTACTGAGTGAAGTTGTGTCGCGACCGGTGGCTTCACCCAATCTCTTGAAATGTGGAGGGAGATGTGGAGGCTCCCACGAAAAAAAAAGGTTAATCTGAGAATGTGATAGCTCTCCAGCGCTAGTGGTGCGGATTTAAGGAATGTTGTTGCGCAGGCTCTTCCAAAAATTCTCTTCGGCAACTAGTCAGAGCAAAGAATCAGAGTTAAAAACTACTAAATGACAATCGCGGTGACGGAGGCCTACCCCACCTCCGAATAGATGGTCACAGATCACAGTGTGAATACGGATTAGGGTCGCCGATACTACCGTGCGTGCGTGTGCGTACCAGGTGGGAAACAAAGACATTAATTCGGAGCACGCGGATTTAAATCAGTTGTTTTCAAAAGGGAACAGGTCCACTCCTCAATGATCCATAGGTAGCAGGTCCTTTTATGCAAGCCAAGGCTCATGTAAAAATGGACTTGTTGCCTTCTTACCACAACTATACTCTATCTCACGAACGATGATCCCTGGAAAATATAAGGTAAGTAGTTAAAACCCCCGTGAATGAAAACACCGGAGACCGTTCGAGGAGCGAGGCAGCCAGGACAGTGCGCAGGTACCGCGCGGCCGGGCTTTGGGTTTGCGAGACTTCTTTTACACCCATGCCCCGCCAGTTTTCTCTGTCTTATCTGAGTCAGTCAGAATTAGTTTTTCTTCAATTTTATAAAAAATCATGTTTTAAGTGCGTCAACTGTTGCAGCATGAAAATCTAAGCAAGGTGATGTAAAATTATCAAAAATGGAGCAATTTT